AAAGGGGATAGTATTTACTGGATATTCAAGAGACAGATCTCTAGAAACAGCTTTTCTGGCACAGAGCAACTACATGCTATTATTTCATTTAATATTTGTGAAAGCCCTTTTCTTTACTTCCAGTTCAAATCTCTCCTGACCTTAAGTGGTGTCCTTTACACACAAGTTAGAGGTGTAGAAATGTGCCTTGCCTATGAATGGTGGTGTTGTGTTTCTGCAAAGAAACAATTGCATTTTGTTTGCTGCACACTGTAACTGCAATAAAACCTTGTTTTTCTTCAGTAAAGTAGAAGACGCATTCTACAATAATGAACTCAGGCTGAATGGAGAAAAACTATGGAAGAAAAGTAGAACTGTAAGACTTTTAAAATTTTTTTTAATATAATACAAGAAAATTTCTAAGGCATGATCTTCTCCCTCTAGCCCACTCTGCAAAGGTGAATGCACAGCATTGCTAACACCACTTCCACCTGGGGGGATGGTGTGACCATGGTTCCCTGGGTAAAACTTTATTCCCTAAGGCAGACAGGAAACTTGTGTGGTTGGAGAGTCAAATCTAAGTCTGAAAGCCAGGAGAAGGCAGCAAGGATGGAACATTTTAAGTTGCTGAAGGAAGTGATGATATCACTATGTGAGATTGATGGAGTAGGAATGATTAAATCTGAGATATTGGTGGAGCAGGCACATGATTAAAGAAAAAGAGGAAGTTTGAGGATAGAAAGGGATTGAAACTCGGGTAGCTGAGGGAAGGCTGTTGTACCTGTAATAGAGCACACAGGACCACAGTTAGGAGAGAGCCAGAAGGGTCACCAGACATGTACTTACTTCTCCCTACCCTTTCTTTATGTGAGGGTGATCCTCGGTTGTGGCTACTGTGATCAAAGGGCAATATGATGAGAAGTTTTGATTCCTGATCCCATAGAGTTAAGGCTGGTTTATGAGAGGTATACTGCTTCTGTGACCTTTGAGAGGAGCACAGGCACTTGTTGAGCACTCTGTTCTTTGAAACACTTTAAACTGTTTTAAAGGCAGGAGGAAGAACTTCACACTTTTCTGGTTTGTGTCTGTGTTGACAGGAAATAAAGACATATGTGAAACCTTTTTTACAGAGTTAGGTGTTGGTTGTATCACACAGAGTGTGAAGCTCTTGGCATGGGAGGTCCTGAGACATGTAATTGCATATTGCCATGACTTTCCTGGAAATTCATCTCTGGAGGATCTAAAATAGGTCTCGTATTGGCTGCCTTCCTCCTCTCCTGTGAGATAGGAATATTAAGTGGAAAGAAAGGAACATGGCGGGGATTTCCCCAGGCAATGTTTATAATCACTCATCTTCTCTTTCTGTTTCCAGGTGAAACTTGGTGACACACTGGATCTCATAATAGGTGAAGATAAAGAAACAGGAAGTGCTGTAGTTATGCGGGTAGTCTTAAAAAAATTATCTGACAAAACTGAAAGTGAAAAATACAAAGTTGTTTTGAGGCGTTGGAAAAACTTAAAAGTGCCCAAACAGGATGTACTTAAGTAACGAGGGGTTGCATGTGGCAGCATAAGATTTTTGCAGAAAAACATACTTTTTTGTTAAATATGAATTTTGGTTGAACAAAATTACAGTACCCTTTTTAAGGGCTTGTGTCAGAATGTTATCTCGCTCTGCTGCATACATCAATAATCATGCAATAAAGCCTGTCAATTTTGTTGGTAGCTTTGTCTTGTGGTACTGTAAGTTAAAAGATCCAACACTTACATTTCCAGGAAGTTTCTTATAAATAATGAATCAATAAAGACTGATTTGATCACTATTTAATTGCTGTCTAATTTTGTTAATCAGAAAGGTTACATTAAAGCGGATATCACATCAAGCAAAATGACTTTCTTTGTTTTATCTCTATTCATGAAGTAGGACGAAAGCCTTCAATTATGTAAAGTTCCTTTTTCATTATTTAATCTTAATTAAAGGTTAACAATACCAACTCCATACTTATATATGCTGCTGCTATACCAAGAATGCAGCAGGATACTGATTGCAGGGCCATATTTCTAAGCAGGAAAACTTCATGGTGACAGAGAATCATAGAATCAGAATAGTTTATGTTGAAGAGACAAGATCATTGAGTCCAACTATTAACCCAGCACTGCCGAGCCCAGCACTGCCGAGCCCATCACTGCCGAGCCCATCACTAAATTGTGTCTATAAGTGCCACATCTACACACCATTTAAATACCTCCAGGGATGGTGATGGTAAATACCTCCACCACTTCCTGGGCAGCCTGTTCCAATGCTTGACAACCCCTGCCAGTGAAGAAATCTTTCCTGATATCCAATCTAAAACTCACCTGGTGCAACTTGAGGCTCTTTCCTCTTGTCAAATCACTTGTTGTCTTGGAGAAGAGACCATCCCCATTCCCCATCGCTCTCTGGGCCCAGCCTTCCAGACAGGTTTTTACCCAGTGAATGATGCACCTGTCCAAGCCATAAGCAGCCACTTTATCAAGAAGAATGCTGTGGAAAATATCAGAAGCTTTACTAAAGTCCAAGTAGACAACATCCACAGCCTTTCCTTCATTCATTAAGGAGGTTGGTTTATCACAGATGGAGATCAGGCTGGTCAAGCAGGACCTTCCTTATATCTCCTTTCCAGAGTGTTTGTTAGCCTTTCTTTTCAGGTTCACAAGATTTTGTTTCCCTTCTCGAAAGGAAATGTTATTTCCTTTCGGGAAGGGAAACGAAATCTTGTAATTTCAATGGGGATCAATTGGGCAAGCTTTGGTCCATGTCCCTGCATTTGATGGCATGCCATGCCTTTTGATGGCTTTCACTTTGGCCAAGACTTTTATTATTTTTTTTTAAAGTATCCACACCATGTCCCTCATGTCTTCCCCTCAAAGTTTTGTCTTCCTCCTTGGTATTTTGTACTGCTTTTACAACATCTGAGAGGTTAGTTTTGGCCTGTTTTGGTCCTTGGCAATGCACCTCATTTTCTCCCAGACCACTTGCTTGTAGTCACTAAATCCCCCCATTTTCTTTTTTATTTTCATTCAATTGCATTTCTTTTCAGCATATCTCCTTTTCAGAGTGTGAAGGGATAGAATGTAAGAAAATAAAGACAGTGCAGAAGGTAGTCTCACACCTGAGGAGTTGCAGCTATACGAATCACCAAAGATTAGGAACAGACCTGCCCTTAATGGGCCACGGTTGTGTCCAATAAGAACATGAGTGCTACAAAAGAGTTGGTTAGCTGGTTGAAGAGAGATGGAGTTTGTTGGCTGTGAAGAAGGAGGAGTCAGTGTTGTGAGGAGCTGATCATGAGAAATCACCGAGAAGGTACGAGAGCTTTCCAATAGGATGACAGCATCAGAGTGTTTGTGAGTACTTCTTTTCTTTTTCTGGGATTTGAATGGATCAATTTTGGCAAGATTTGATCCGTGTCCCTGCATTTGATGGCATGCTGTGCCTTTTGATAAGAGTCACTTTGGCCAAGATTGATTTTCGATTTTTTTTTTTTAAGTATCTATGCTGTGTCCCTCATATCTTCCCCTCTAAGTTATGTCTTCCTCCTTGATTTTTCCCCTGCTTTTGCAACATCTGTTAGCTTAGTTTTGGCCTGTTTTGGTCCTTGGCACTGCAGCTCATTTTCTCCCAGACCACTTTCTTGTAGTCACTAAATCTCCCAATTTTTTTTTTATTTTCCTTCAATTGAATTTCTTTTATCAAATCGCTATTTCAGAGTGTTTGTAAGTCCTTCTTTTCTCTTTTTGGGAGTTTTACGGATCAATTTTGGCAAGCTTTGTTCCGTGTCCCCGCACTTGATGGCATGCCATGCCTTCTGATGGGATTCTCTTTGGCGAAGATTGATTTTTTTTTTTTTTGTGTCCATGCCATGTCACTCATATCTTCCTGTCAAAGTTGTGTCATCTGCCTTGATTTTTTCACCTCCTTTTCCAACATCTGAGAGCTTATTTTTTGCAGGTTTTTGACCTTTGTACTGCACCTCATTTTCTTCCAGACCACTTTGTTGTGGACACTAAAACTCCCAATTATCGAGGGTTTTTTGGTTTTTTTCAATTGCATTTCATTTGATCATATCTCCTTTTCAGAGTATTTGTAAGCCTTTCTTTTCAGGTTCGCAAATGGGACAGGTCCTGTGCTAACCAAAATTGCATGGTCAGTCCATGCCCTGCAGTGCTTAACACAATTTTCCTGGGAAAAACCTCACAGTTTTCAGGGTCTAAATTCATTTGGAAGGTTTAGGGCACTGCAGTGTGGGGGAAACTCAGCATGGTGCCATGTTTAAAGGCCTTCATTCTCCCAAGCAGATATGATTGGAACCCTGGCACGGGGACCTGTCCCAATTTTTACCCTTTTACGTCATATTCTCCAAAATGAACTTTTTAAAAGTACAAGATTTGATTTCTTGCTCCCATCACCTGAACCACGCTGGGGCTCATCAGTTTATACTTAAGGCAATGCCATTGGAAAAACCAACATGGATTTCAATGCCTGTGAAGCATCAAAATGAACTCCGCTTCTCCAGAATCTGGGGTGAACGTTGAAGCACCCAGACTCTCAGACTGAGAAGGACACTGAGTGCCCTGACCGGCTGAGCACAACAAGGGCTCTGCATGATCATTATAGGCAAAAAAAGGGACAGAGGAACCCAGATCCTGAAGCCTGACACTGATCAAAAAGGGATCAGTTTCAATACCAAAACACTCTCCACTCTTTGTGACACCCAGCACAGCCCCCCCCCTTCCCGCAAAGCAACATTCAAATAGTCAAGAGTGGCCCCGGGTAAGGGGATACCCAGCACATTTACATCCCTGCACCTGCCCTGTGCCCACAGAAGCCGCACCAAAATCCCCCCCAGCAGCAGCAGCAGCAGCTCTATGAAGATCCTCTTGCCATCCCTGACACTCCACCAAGAGCAGCCACTGACCTGCCTCAGGCTCTGCTGCCACAGCTCCCTTGGCCAGCACAGCTCTGCTCCCCAGCTTGCACCATGGAAGCTTCTCTCCCTCCACAGAAATCCAATGTCACTGCACACGGGGCCTCAACTGTGGCCATCATCACCCTGGAGGCATTTGCTGGCATGTGGATAAATGCTTTCATCGTTTGTGTGCTTTGCATTGCCTGGGTCCAAAAGAAAACCCTGAACTCTAATGAGAAGATCTTGCTGCTGCTGGGATGCTCCAGGATTTCCTATTTGTGCTCCTCATGGGTATCACAATTCCTTTCAAAAATATATCCCAAATATCTTTATGCTCACACTATACTTCTCTTACTGGCAATTTTTCAAACATTTTTTAATTATTCCAACTTGTGGGTCTCAGCTTGTCTCTGTGGTTTCTACTGCATAAAAATGGCCAATTTCAGGAACAGCTTCTTCATCTACCTGAAAGTAAAGGTTGACAGGATGGTGCCCTGGCTCTTGTTGGGCTCAGAGATTGTAGCCTTGGCTATGGGTATTGTTATCTATGACCTCATGGAAACTGCGCAGAGTAGCAACATCACTTCCAACAGCCAAGAAAATTTTTGGGAAGTAACTATCAGAAAGGATAAACATTGTTACTTCTCTTTTTTTCTCGCTGGATTTGGATATGCTGCTCATTCATGGCAGTCAGCTTTTCTGCTCTTTTCCTTCTCTTTTCCCTCTGGAGACACAAGCGCACGATGCAGACAAGCTCCATGAAGGACCTCAACATGGATGCCCACATCAGAGCCATGAAATCTGTCCTCTCCTTCTTAGTGATGTACAGCATCAACTTTGTATGTTTGGTCTTGACAATAATTTATGTCATGACGAAAGAAAATATCATGACACTTCTTATATCCATATATCTGTGTGCTTTTCCAGGTGTTCATTCCCTTATTCTGATTTTCAGTAATCCCAAGCTGGAAAAGGCACTGCTGAAGATTCTCTCCTGTGTGAAGTGGGAGTTTTTCATCAAGTAGGATCAGTAATCAAAGCTGGAGCCCATGTAAAATGTTGATCTTTTAATGTAAGAAATAAGTAATATAATTTCTGAACAAACTCTCCAGGGAAGGTAGATGATACTGATGTTCACTCTTCAATATCTAAGTTAAAGAGTTGATTCATATCTTTTGAGCTAAGTTATTATGAGCCGAATACATTATAATCATTTCTAGACTTACTTAAATCTTTGAGATATATTTTTGTTATTAACAAAGTAATTCAATCCTGATGGTAGGAATGATGCCTAAGCCCCTGTGTGGTGAAGGGATTAATGTGGGCATGAGAGTCTGCTGGTGGGGTGATGGATCATCAGGCAGAGCCCCTTTACCTCTGCCTGGGCCCAGTGGAAGAGGGAGTGATGCTAATTGAGTGTTCAGCCCCTGCCCAAGACTCACAGCCTTTGCAATCACAACCCTGGNACCCAGACTCCCAGACTGAAAAGGACAATGAGTCCCCTGACCTACTGAGCACAGCCAGGGCTCTGCATGATGATCATAGGCAAAATAGGGACAGAAGAACCCAGATCCTGAAGCCTGACACTGATCAAACAGGGATCAGTACCACAATCAAAACACTCTCCACTACAGAAAAACATCTCTGCTGTTTGTGACACCCGGCCCAGTCCCCCAAACCAACATTCAAATAGTCAAGAGTGGCACCGGGTAAGGGGATACCCAGCACATTTACATCCCTGCACCTTCCCTGTGCCCACAGCAGCGGCACCAAAATCCCCCCCCAGCAGCAGCGGCAGCAGCAGCTCTATAAAGCTCCTCTTGCCATCCCTGACACTCCACCAAGAGCAGCCACTGACCTGCCTGTGTGCTTTGCATTGCCTGGGTAAAAAGGAAAACCCTGAACTCTAATGAGAAGATCTTGCTGCTGCTGGGATGCTCCAGGATTTGCGTTTTATGCTTCTCATGGGTATACCAGTTCATTTCCGTAATGTATCCGAACATCCTTCATGTTCAAACCATACTTCAACTACTTTCATCTTTTGCAGCAGCTTTTAATTATTCCAACGTGTGGGTCTCAGCCTGTCTTTGTGGTTTCTACTGCATAAAAATTGCCAATTTCAGGAACAGCTTCTTCATCTACCTGAAAGTAGAAGTTCACAGGATGGTGCCCTGGCTCTTGTTGGGGTCAGAGATTGTAGCCTTGGCTATGGGCATTGTTGTGTATGACCTCCATGAAACTCTGCAGACAACAACATCACTGCCACCAGCCAAGAAAATTTTTGGGAAGTAACTATCAGAAAGGATAAACATCTTTTAATTTCCTGTTTTCTTTCTGGTCTCGTGTTTGCTCTCCCATTCCTGGCAGTCATCTTTTCTGCTGTTTTCCTTCTCTTTTCCCTCTGGAGACACAAGCACACGATGCAGTCAAGCTCCATGGAGGACCTCAGCATGGACGCCCACATCAGAGCCATGAAATCTGTCCTCTCCTTCTTAGTGATGTACAGCATCAACTTTGTATGTTTGGTCTTGACAATAATTTATGCCATGAAGAAAGAAAATATCATCACACTCCTTATTTACATATATCTGTTTGCTTTTCCAGGTATTGATTCCCTTATTCTGATTTTCAGTAATCCCAAGCTGGAAAAAGCAATGCTGAAAATCCTCTCCTATGTGAAGTGTGAGTTGTTCATGAAATAGGATCTGTGATAAAGCTAGAGCCCATGCAAAATGTTGATTTTCACTGCAGTAAACAAGGAATTTTATTTCTGATGCAGCTGTCCAGGCAGCGTAGATGATACTGATCACTCTTCAACATCTAAGTTAAGAAAACTTCATTTGTATCTTTTGAGCTTAATTATTTAAAGCTAAATATATTAGTATCATATTGCATTATTATCGTATTTAGATTTAGGTAAACTTTGAGACATA